ACGCACAGCAGCCCAACTTATAGGGTCAATAAGGACAAAAATACAAGCGGATGAAGACAGTTCAAATGAAGCTTTAATGAATGCTGACTTTAAGAACGCCTTCGAAGCTCTTCATAGTAAGGTGAAACTAGTGAACGACTTCTCATCTTGAAAGAAACTGAAGTCTGAAGGTTTCGACAACGAGTTAAGAGAAGTAGCACAAAATATGACGAAAATAACAGATGCAGCAACGAGACAGGCAGTTCAAAGTGCCTATGACGCCGTTAGACAACTGTTGTGGAAAGTCAAGAAAAGAGTTACAACAGACCAAAACGAACCTAGTAAATGCTTTCTTAAAACGAAAAGTCAGGTAGGACATTATGCTGCGAGTGGAACATATGTGCCAGCTGGTGGAACTTATATACCACCAAACCCTCCAAGAGAAACTGCACCAGGACTACCTAAAACATTTACATCGTCACATGACAACAGACCAGGCATGCACCAAAACAACAACACGTCAACACAGCACACAACACACCAAAACCAGCATCAAAACCAGCAACCACAGTTCAAAACCACAGCAACACTAAGCACACAGACCATTCAAACACACAACAGTTCAAAACCCTGCACCAGACACACAACAGAGCAAGGACATAAAGAAGTGAGAAACAAGGAAACCAAGAATTCTTAAAAATGCTTAAGGAAGATTATGGTTACCACAGATACTCTTGACTTTAGTGACAGATATAAAGAAGCTATTAGAAAGTTCAAGGAAGGAAATACTGACCCGAAACCTATTTAGCTTTATGGTTCAGCACAAATGGGATATAATTTCACCTGGAAAATACAAGCTCGCTAAGGGATATGATTTAATAGCATATCATCCAAATGACATGAGAATTTTACTCAAGATTATTTGGTGTCAGAGTAATGTAAGAAATATAATAGCTTCTTATATATCTGTCACTAAAGTCAAGAGTATCTGGGTAACCATAGTCTTCCTTAAGCATTTTTAAGAATTCTTGGTTTCCTTGTTTTCTCTTCTTTTATGTCCTTGCTCTGTTTTGGTGCAGTGTTTTGAACTGTTGGTTGCTGGTCAGTGTTTTTGAACTGTTGGTGTGTGTGCTGGATTTTGAACTGTTGGTTGTGGTGCTGGATTTTGAACTGTTGTTTTGGTGCATGCCTGTGTCTGTGTCCATGTGACGATGTAAATGTTTTTAGGTAGTCCTGGTGCAGGTGCTTCTCTTGGAGGGTTTGGTGGTATATAAGTTCCACCAGCTGGCACATATGTTCCATCTGCAGCATAATGTCCTACCTGACTTTTCGTTTTTAAGAAAGCATTTACTAGGTCTGTTTTGGTCTGTTGTAACTCTTTTTCTTGACTTCCACAACAGTTGCTCTAACGGCGTCATAGGCACTTTGAACTGCCTGTCTCGTTGCTGCATCTGTTATTTTCGTCATATTTTGTGCTACTTCTCTTAACTCGTTGTCGAAACCTTCAGACTTCAGTTTCTTTCCAGATGAGAAGTCGTTCACTAGTTTCACCTTACTATGAAGAGTTCGAAGGCGGTTCTTAAAGTCAGCATTCATTAAAGCTTCATTTGAACTGTCTTCATCCGCTTGTATTTTTGTCCTTATTGACCCTATAAGTTGGGCTGCTTTGGCGTTGGCTTGGGCATCTAACCAGTCATTATTAGCTTTTATATATTCTGCGCTTTTCATTGCCTTTTGCATGGCTGCGTCGTTATTTTTACTTTCTTGTGCTAAGTTTTCATACTGTACGGTTTGGTTTTTGCAACTGTAAAAGTTTTTCTGCCTTTACATTTGCTTCAACTTCTTTTTATACTCATCGCTATCCATATATGTCTTCAGGGCTTTTTGTTTTATCTCTTCATCTTTCAGTACTTTATAATTGAGTAGTATGGTTTTTTCAAATTTATAAACATCTTGTTCCATTTTGCTAACTTCTGCTGCTTTTTCTGACACTTTTTTCGCATATTCCTCTGTACTTAGTTCTTTCAGTTGTTTCTTCTTTTCTTTTTTCTCTACGTTAACTTCTGAGTTTCTTTGTGTGTCTGTCATATTCTAGTTTCTTTTCGTTTTCACTTATTTGTTTCTGTATGTCTATGTTTGACCTTTGACATCTGTTATTTGATTTTTGAGTGAACTCAAATTTCATTTGACTTTGAGGTTATAAGCTGTTCCGTCTGCAGCTCCACCATAGCCTGCCATTTTCGCTAAAAGTGCCGCTCTTAAACCTCCACTCTGTGCACCAATAACTCGGTTTAAAAGCATAGGGTTGCTTGACATTTGTTGCAACATAGTGGGGTTCATTCATCATTTGTTGTTGCAACTGTTGTTGTGGTGTCAGTTTTACTATTGGATGTTTCAATGCTCTCTTCCTCTTACGTATATTCTTACGTAGCTTACGTGGCATTTTAAGTGAAGTTAAAAAGCGGTTTTTGACAGATGTTTATATGACACTTTTTGTTCAGCACAAAAAACTACTCGGTCAAAGTGTTGTCAGTTTTGTAAAATAACCGTCCTATCTCCGTGCCTATGACGAAGAAATCATGACAAATTCATGAGGTGAGAAAAAGAGGTGAGAAAAACAGGTGAGATTCTACCTCTTCACCTAAATTATATTTTTGGGTCCTTTACACTCATTACGAAGAAGTCTTGACAAAACATGTACGAAGAAGTCTTGACAAAACATTTACGATGAAATCTTGACAAAACATTTACGATGAAATCTTGACAAAACATTTACGATGAAATCTTGACAAAACATTTACGATGAAATCTTGACAAAACATTTACGAAGAAGTCTTGACAAAACATTTACGATGAAATCTTGACAAAACATTTACGAAGAAGTCTTGACAAAACATTTACGATGAAATCTTGACAAAACATTTACGATGAAATCATGACAAAACATTTACGATGAAATCTTGACAAAACATTTACGATGAAATCTTGACAAAACATTTACGATGAAATCATGACAAAACATTTACGATGAAATCTTGACAAAACATTTACGATGAAATCATGACAAAACATGAAAACATATATAATTTGTGAAAAGCGACACATTATATATAATGTTTTCGACCCAGAAGACTAACAATTTTCCGAATAAAAAACTTCATTTATACTAAACTTTTTTATGGGCTAGAGGGCGCGAAGTGCCCGGAAGGCCATCCCAAGAAAAAAAAAAACTTCATTATACCAAACATCCTCAGGGGTAGAAGGCACGAAGTGCCTGGAACCCCCAATTCCTTTTTTTTTTTTTTTTTTTTTTTTTTTTATTGCGTAACATCATGTAGAAAGACGGTGAAAACAAATTAAACCATTTATCTAACAAGCCAAGCATTAGAAAAGACAATACAAAAGTTATACATAGAAAGAAATAGGACAGCATTGTTAATTACTGGAAATTTAATATATCTGCCAACAAAAGAGTGTCAAAATTTTATGATTTTTTGAATTTGAGCGACCAAAATAGTAATAAATAAAATATCCATTTAATGATATCAGGAATGAATCTATATGTTAAATATCGATTTTTTGATGGAAATCATACAATTAATTATATGAGTTTCTCTCAAAAAGTCGATTTCTGTCAGATCAGTCTTTTGGACCGTGAAAACTTTATTCGTTTATTCATCAAAACAGCAATAGATATCACAATAGTAGAGCAGAGCATTGCATGATCAAGTGCTTTTCTTCGATTTTTCTTTTGATAAATTTGATTCCTATTTGATAATTTTTTTATTTTATTTTATTATTTTTTGTATATGCAACTATTGCCATTCTTTTTTAATGGATTTGATTTTTAATAATGGTCAACTCCAAATCTGCAAATTCAATTTTAAATAAGGTCGCCAAAAAAAAGTGCGGAAATTAAAAACCGCAGTTTGAGCACTTTCTGAGGGTCTGTTTGTCAGAAAGTATACATTTGTAAACTTTCTGACACTAAAATTTTTTTTGTCCTTTCAAAGTTTTTGACAATGTCAAAAAGTATACATCGGGGCTCTCAATTTTCCTCTCAAACGGCGGTTTTTTAAAAACGCTCATTTTTTCATCGACCTTAAGGCTGCACTTACGCCCATCATTAAGAAACGAGGCGGAGTTTTATTTTTACGTAGACAGAAAAGCCAAATTTCTCAAGTCTACACTCCAAATGCAGTTACGAGTCAAGAAGATTCTCTTATGTTTATACAAACAAAGTC